TAGTTGGCAGCACATTTTCTTAGTAACTAAAAGTCCTATATTAAAGTCCCAGTCAGGGTAAAAATGCTTCATGCTTTCGCATATGGTATTGTGCTTATTTGATTATTGTTGGTCCAGAATGATTTTTGGGAGTTGAATTAAATGCAAAAACGAAGAAATGAGTGAGTTTGGGGGAAACTGTAATATGAACATAGTGGCAATTATATAAAAAGAGTTCATACTTAGTATAGCAGATATAAGCTGTAAGGTCTTTTAACCTATTAAGACCTTCTGTGGTGTAGTTGGTGGCGCCTTGATGTAGTAATTATGTCTTAAGTAGAAGTCGGGGAAGAAATTATTTATGTTTTCACATATGGTATTGCGCTTATTTGATTATTGCTGATTCAGAATGAGATATGGAGTTGAAATAAATGTATAAATGTAACTACGAGCCAGGATGAGGGAAACTGTAATATGAATATAGTGGCATTCAGATGGAATTTGTTCATTGCTAGTATTGCAGATGTAAGCTGCAAGTTCTGTGTCCCTATTGAAACCTTCTGTGGTGTAGTTGGTAGCGCCATGGCTTAGTAATTGTAAGTCCTAGGTTTAAGTCTCTGTCAGTGGAAAAATGATTCATGTTTTAACATACGGTAATGTGCTTATTCCATTATTGTAGGTCCTGAATGAGATTGGGAGTGGACTTAAATGCGAAAATGAAACCACGACAGAGGTTTGTTAAACTTTAATATGAACATACTTGCTTTCAGATAGAATGCATTCATTCCTAGTTTAGCAGATATAAGCTGTTTTCCTTTTACGACTTTTTGTGGTATTGTTGGTAGCGCCTTGGTTTAGTAATTCTAAGTTTTAGGGTAAAGTCCCGGTCGGGGAAAAATAATTCATGCTATTTGATAATTGTTGGTCCAGAAAGAGATAGGGATTTGAATTAAGTACGAAAAGGATACCACGAGCGAGATTGGGGGAGACTCTAAATTGAACAAAGCTGCATTCAGATAGAATGTGTTCATTCATAGGGTATTAGATATAAGCTGAAAGGTCTTCTTCCCTTTTAAGACCTTCGGTGTTGTAGTTGGTAGCGCCTTCGCTTAGTAATTATAAGTCCTAGGTTCAAGTCCGGGTCGGGGTAAATTTTTTTTTCACATACGGTAATATTCTCATTTGATTATTATTGGTTCAGAATGATATTTGAAGTTGAACTATATGCAAAAACGAAAACACAAGTGAGGTTGAGGGAGACTGTAATATGAACATAGTGGCATTCAGTTAGAATGCATTCATTCCTAGTATTTCAGATATAAGCTGTGAGGTCTGTCTCGCTTTTAGACGTTCTGTGGTGTAGTTGGTAGGGCATTGGCTTACTAATTATAAGTCCTAGTTTTAACTTCCGGTCATGGCAAAAATGATTAATGTTTTTACATATGGTAATGATTTGTTTTATTATTGTAGGTCCCGAATGATATTGGGAGCTGAATTAAATTTGAAAACAAAGCCAAGAGTGAGGTTTTGGGAAAGTTTATTATGAACATAAAGGCATTCAGAGAGAATGCGTTCACACCTAGTATAGCAGATATAAGCTGTATGGTCTGTTCCCCTTTAAGACCGTCTGTGGTGTAGTTGCATAGCGTCTTAGCTTAGTAATTATAAGTCGTAGGTATAAGTCCCCGTATGGGTAAAAATGATTAATGCTTTCACATGTGGTAATATGCTTTTTTTATTTTTATTGGTCCAAAATAAGATTGGGACTTGAATTAAATGCTAAAACGAAGCAAGGAGTGATTTTGGGGGACAATGTAATATGAACATTGTGGCAATGAGATAGTATGTGTTCACCCAGTATAACAGATATAAGATATAAGGACTGGTTTCCTTTTAAAACTTTCTATGGTGTTGTTATTAGCGCCTTGGCATAGTAATTATAAGTTCTAGGTTAAAGTTCCTGATAGGATAAAAATGATCCATGATATCACATTTGGTAATGTGCTTATTTGATTATTGTTGGGCCAGAATAAGATAGGAACTTAAATTAAATGCAAAAACGAAAACACGAGTGATGTTGGGGGAAACTGTATTGTGAAAATAGTGATATTCAGATAGAATGCGTTCATTCCTAATATAGCAGATATAGGCTGTCAGGTGTGTTTTCCTTTTAAGGTCATCTTTGGCGTAGTTGGTAGCGCCTAGGATTAGTAATTATAAGTCCTATATTCAAGTCCCGTTTGGGGAAAAAATGATTCATATTTTCACATACGGTAATGTGCTTATTTCAGTTTTGATGGCCTCGAATGAGATTGAGAATTGAATTTAATGCAAAAAAGAAACAATGAGGGTGGATGGGGGACTCAGTAATATGAACATAGGGACATTCAGATAGAATCCGTTCATTGCTAGTATGGAAGATATAAGCCGTAAGATCAGTTTCAATTTTGTACCTTCTGTGGTGTAGTTGGCAGCTGCTTAGCTTAGGTATTACAAGGGCTATGTTTAAGTCCCATTCATGGTAAAATGATTCATGTTTTCACATATGGTAATGTGCTTATTTGATTATTGATTGTCCAGAATTTGATTGGGAGTTGAATTAAATGTAAAAATGAAAACACGAGTGAGGTTGGAGGAAACCGTAATATGATCCTAGTGGCATTCAGATAGAATGCGTTCATTCCTACTATAGCAGATATTAGCTATAAGGTCTTTTTCCCTTTTAGATCTTGTGTGTTGTAGTTGGTAGTGCATTGGCTTAGTAATTATAAGTCCTAGCTTAAAGTCCCTGTTGTGGTAAAAATAATTTTTGTCTTCACATATGGTAATGTGCTTATTTAATTATTGTCTGTCCAAAATGAGATAGAGAGTTGAAATAAATGTGAAAACGAAACCACGAGTGAGGTTGGACGAAACTATAATATGAACATAGTGGCATTCAGATAGAATGTGTTCATTCCTTGAATAGCAGATACAAACTGTAAGGTCTATTTCCCCTTTAACACCTCTGTTGTAGTTGGTATTGCCTTGGCTTAATAATTATAAATCCTAGGTATAAATCCCAGTCGTGGTGAAAATGATTCATGTTTTCAAATATGTAAATATGCTTACTTAATTGTTGTTGGTCCAAAAAGAGATGAAAACTTAAATTATATGCGAAAACTAAACCACGAGTGTGGTTAGGGGAAAATGCAATGTGAGCATAGAGGCATTCATATAGCATGTGTTCATTCCTAGTATAGCAGATATAAGCATAAATGTCTGTTTAACTTTTAAAACCTTCTCTGGTGTAGTTGGTAGCACCTTGGTCTAGTAATTATAAGTCCTAGATTTAAGTCCTAGTTCTCGTAAAAATGATTCATGTTTTCATATACGGAAATGTGTTTATTTGAATATTTTAGGTCCCGAACGAGGTTGGGAGTTGAATTAAATGTGAAAACGAAACCACGAGTCAGGTTGATCAAGCAGTAATGTGAACATTGTGGCATTTAGATAGATTATGTTCTTTCCTAGTTTAGCAGATATAAGCTGTATGGTCTGTATCCTTTTTAAGGTCTTCTTTGATGTAGTTTTCGGATACGGTCATATGCTTATTTGATTATTGTCGGTCCCAAATGAGATTGAGAGGTAAATTAAATGCTAAAACAAAAAGACGAGTGAGGTTGGGGGAACTGTAATATGAACATATTGGCATTCACATAGAATGCATTCATTCCTAGAATAGCATATATAAGCTGTTTCCCTTTTTTAAGACCTTCTCTGGTGAAGTTGGCAGGGCCTTGGCTTAGTAATTATAAGTCATAAGGTAAAAGTCCCTGAGGGTGTAAAAATGATTCATGTTTACACATACGGTAATATGCTTATTTTATTATTGTTGGTACCGAATGAGATTGGGAGTTGAATTAAATGTGAAAACAAAACACCATTGAGGTTGGGGGAAATCGCAATATAAACAAAGTGGTCTTCAGATAGAATGCGCTTATTCCTAGCTTAATAGATATAAGCTGTAAGGTCTTTATCCTTTTAAAGACCTTTTGTGGTGTGGTTTGTAGCGCCTTGGCTTAGTAATTCTAAGTCGTAGGTTCATGTCATAGTCGGGGTAAAAATGATTCATGTTTTTGCATCGATTGAGATTGGAAAAAAACTGTAATGTAAACATAGTGATATTCATGTAGAATGTGTTCATTCCTAGTATAGCAGATATAAGCTGTAAGGTCTGTTTCCCTTTTAAGACCTTCTGTCTTGTTGTTCGTAGCACCTTGGCTTAGTAATTATAAGTCCTAGGTTCAAGTCCTTGTAGGGGTAAAAATCATTCATATTTTCACAAATAGTATGCTCATTTGATTATTATTGGTCCAGAGTGAGATTGGAAGTTGAATTAAATGCAAAAACGAAACCACGAGTGAGGTTATGGGAATTTGAAATATGAACATATTGGCATTAAGATAGAATGCTTTCATTCCTAGTTTAGCATTTATAAGCTATAAGGTGTGTTTCCCTTTTAAGACCTTTTGTGGTGTAGCTGGTAGCTCCTTGGCTTAGTAATTTTAAGTCCTAGGTTTAAGTCCCGTTCGGGGTAATAATGATTCACGTTTTCACCTATGGTAATGTGCTTATTTGAATATTGTAGGCCCCGAATGAGATTGGGAGTTGAATTAAATACTAAAACCAAACCATGAGTGAGGTTGGTCAAGCAGTAATATGATCATAGTGACATTCAGATAGAATGCGTTCATTCCTAGATTAGTAGATATAAGCTGTATGGTTGTTTCCATTTTAAAACCTTCTTTGATGTAGTTGGTGGCACCTTGGCTTAGTAATTATAAGTCCTAGGTAAAAGTCCCTGACGGGGTAAAAATGATTCATGTTTTTATTGTTGGTCCCAAATGAGATTGGGAGTTGAATTAACTGCTAAAAAAAAAGACTGAGAATGGTGGAACTACAATATGAATATATTGGCATTCAGATAGAATACATTCATTCCTAGAATAGCATATTTATGCTCTTTCCCTTTTTTAAGACTTTCTGTGGTGCAGTTGGCAGCACCTTGGTTTAGTAATTGTAAGTCCTAGGTTCAATTCCCGGTCGGAGGAAAAATGGTTCATGTTTTCACATATAGTAATGTGCTTATTCAGTTATTGTTGGTCCCGAATGAGATAGGGAGTTGGATTAAATGTGAAAACAACACCACGAGTGTGGTTAGGGGAAATTATAATATAAACAAAGTGGCATTCAGATAGATTGAGCTTATTCCTAGTTTAGCAGATATAAGCTGTATGGTCTTTTTCCCTTTAAAGACTTGGTGTTGTGTAGTTGGTAGCTCCTTGGCTTAGTAATTCTAAGTCGTAGGTTCATGTCATGGTCGGGGAAAAATTGATTCATGTTTTTGCATCGAGTGAGATTGGAAGAAACTGTCATGTAAACATAGTGACATTCAGATAGAATATTTTCATTCCTAGTATAGTAGTTATAAGATCTAAGGTCTGTTTCAATTTTAAGACCTTCTGTCTTGTAGTTCGAAGCACCTTGGCTTAGTAACTATAAGTCTAAGGTACAAGTCCTTGTCGCGGTAAAAATGATTCATGTTTTCACATATTGTAATATGCTTATTTGATTATTGTTGGTCTGGAATGAGATTGGAAGTTGAATTAAATGCTAAAGCGACACCACGAGAGAGGTTATCGGAATCTTTAATATGAACATATTGGTATTCAGACAGAATACATTCATTCCAAGTTTAGCATATATAACCTGTAAGGTTTGTTTCCCTTTTAAGACCTTTTATTGGTGTAGCTGGTAGCGCCTTCGCTTAGCAATTTTAAGTCCTAGGTTGAATTCCTGGTTGGGGTAAAAATGATTCATTTTTCACAAATGATAATATGCTTATTTGATTATTTTTGGTCCCGAATGAGATTGGGAGTTGAATTAAATGTGAAAAGGAGACCACAGGTGATGTTGGAGAAACCGTAATATGAATCTAGTGCATTCAGAGATCATGTATTCATTCCTAGAATATCAGATATAAGCTGTAAAGACTGTTTTCCTTTTAAGATCTTCTCTTGTGTAGCTGGTAGCGCCTTGGCTTAGTAATTGTAAGTATTAGGTTCAAGTCCCAATCGGGGTCAAAATTATTCATGTTTTCATGTACTGAAATGTGCTTAATTGATTATTGTTGGTCCCGAATGAGATTGAGAGTTGAATTAAATGCGAAAAGGAAACCACGAGTGATGATATGGGAAACCGTTATATAAACCTAAAGTCTTTCATATAGAATGCATTCATTCCAAGTATAGCAGATATAAGTGATAAAGTCTCTTTAACATTTAGACCTATTATGGTGTAGTTAATTGCACCTTGGCTTAGTAATTATGAGTCCTAGGCTCAAGTATCAGTTGGAGTAAAATGATTCTTCCTTTTACATATGAAAAATGCTTATTTGATTATTATTGGTCCCAAATGAGGTTGTGAGTTGAATTAAAAGCAAAAATGAAACCACGAGTAACGTTTTGGGAAATTTCAATATGAACCTAGTGGCATTCAGACAGAATGCGTTCATTCCTAGTATAACAGATATAAGCTGTAAGGTCTGTTTCCCTTTTAAGACTTTGTGTGGTGTAGTTGTTAGCGCCTTTTCTTAGTAACCAAAAGTCCTATATTCAAGTCACGGTCAGGGTAAAAATTATTCATGTTTTCACATATGGTAATGTGCTTATTTGATTATTGTAGGTCTCGAATGATATAGGGAGTTGAATTAATGCAAAAACGAAGCAACGAATGAGGTTTGAGGAATCGGCAATATGAACATAGTGGCATTCATATAAAATTCGTTTATACTTAGTATAGCAGATATAAGCTGTAAGGTCTTTTAACCTCTTAAGACATTCTGTGGTGTACTTGGTGACGCCTTGGTTTAGTTTTAATTATAAGTCCCATTTAGAAGTCCCGGCCGGGGAAAAAATTATTCATGTTTCCACATATGGTAATGTGCTTATTTGATTATTGGTGGTTCAGAATGAGATATGGAGTTGATATAAATGCGCAAACGCAGCCATGAGTGAGGTTGAGGGAAACTGTAATATGAATATAGTGGCATTCAGATAGAATATGATCATTGCTAGTATAGCAGATATATATATGGGTTTGCTGCAAGGTCTGTGTCCCTATTGAAACTTGCTGTGGTGTAGTTGGTAGCACCATGTCTTAGTAATCATATATCCTAGGTTCAAGTCCCGGTCAATGATTCATGTTTTAACATACGGTAATGTTCTTTTTCGATTATTATAGGTCACGAATGAGATTGGGAGTGGAATTAAATGCAAAAATGAAACTTCGACAGAGCTTGGTTAAACTTTAATATGAACGTAGTCGCATTCAGATAGAATGCATGCATTGCTAGTTTAGCAGATATAGGCTGTAAGGTCTGTTTCCCTTTTAAGACATTCTGTGATGAAGTTGGTTGCATCTTAGCTTAGTAATAAATAAGTCTTATGTTCAAGTCTCGGCCAGGGTAAATATGATTCATGTTTTAGCATACAGTAATGTGCATACTTTATTATTGTAGGTCCCGAGTGAGATTGGGAGTTGAATTAAATGCAGGAAGAAAAACATGAGTGAGGTTGGGGGATTTATAATATGAACATTGTATCATACAGATAGAATGCATTCATTCCTAGTATAGGAGACATAAGATATTTTCCTTTTAAGACCTAATTTGGTGCAGTTTGTAGTGCCTTGGCTTAGTAATTATAAATCCAATGCCCAAGTTCCGGTAGGGTAAAAAATGACTCATGTTTTCACATATGGTAATGTGATTATTTAATAATTGTTGGTATCGAATGAGATTGAGAGTTGAAATAAATGCGAAAACGAATCCACGAGTGAGGTCGAGGGAAATCGTAATATAAACATAGTGGCATTCAGATAGAATGCGCTCATTCTTTGTTTAGCAAATATATGTTGTAAGGTCTGTTCCCCTTTTAATACCTTCCTTGGTGTAGTTGGTAGCGCCTTGGCTCAATATCTCTAAACCTTAGGGTGAAGTCCACTTTGGGGGAAAAATGATTCATGCTTTCACTTATGGTATTGTGCTTATTTGGTTATTATTGTTCCAGAATGAGATAGGGAGTTAAATTAAATGCGAAAACGAAACCACGAGTGATGTTGGAGGAAACTGTGCTATGAATATAGTGGCATTCAGATAGAATATGCTCATTCCTAGTATAGCATATACAAACCGTATGATCTTTTTCTCATTTTAGACCTTCTGTGCTGTAGTTAGTAGCTCCTTGGCTTAGTAATTATAAATACTATGTTGAACTCCTAGTAGCGGTAAAAATTATATTTGTTTTCACAAATGGTAATATGTTTATTTGATTATTCTTGGTCCAAATTGAGATTGGAAATTGAATTAAATGCAAAAACGAAATCACGAATAGGGTTGGGGTGATGCTATAATATGAATATAGTAGCATTCATATAAAGTGCATTCTATCCTAGTATAGCAGATATAAGCTGTAAGATCTTTTTCCTGTTTAGACCTTATGTGTTGTAGTTGGTAGCGCCTTGGCTTAGTAATTATAAGTCCTAGGTTCAAGTCTCTATCGGGCTAAAAAATATTCATGATTTCCCATATGGTAATGCGCTTATTTGATTGCTGTTGGTCCAGAATAAATTATGGAGTTGAATTAAATGAGAAAACGAAACCACGAGTTTGGTTGGTGGAAACTGTAATATGAACATAGCGGCATTCAGATAGAATATGTTCATTCCTAGTATAGCAGATATAAACTGTAAGGTCTGTTTCCCCTTTAAGACCTTCTGTGTTATCATTGGTAGTGCCATGTGTTAGTAATTATAAGTCCTAAGTTCAAGTCCTCGTCGGGGTAAAAATGATTGATGTTTACACAAATGGTAATATGCTTATTTGATTATTGTTGGTTCTGATTGATATCGGGAGTTGAATTAAATGGGAATAGGAAACCACAAGTGATGTTGGAGGAAACTGTAGTATGAATCTAGAGGCATTTAGAGAGAATGCTTTCATTCCTAGTATAGCAGACATAAGCTGTAAGGTCTGTTTCCATTTTAGACCTACTGTGGTGCAGTTGGTAGCGCCTTGGATCAGTAATTATAAGTCCTAGGTTCAAGTCCCAGTCGGGGTAAAAATGATTCATGTTTTCACTTATGATACTGTACTTATTTGATTATGGTTGTTCGTGAATGAGATATGGAATTGAATTTAATGCAAAAACGAAACCACGAGTTTGGTTAGCAGAAACCGTAATATTAACATAGTGGCTTTCATATTGAATGTGTTCATACCCAGTATAGCAGATATAAGCTGTCAGGTCTGTTGCTCTTTTAACACATTCAATGGTGTAGTTGCTGATGGCCTGGCTTAGTAATTGTAAGTCCTAGGTTCAAGTCCCGGTCGGGGAAAAAATTATTCATATTTTCACAAATGGTAATGTTCTTATTTGATCACTGTTGGTCCTGAATGAGATAGGGAGTTGAATTAAATGCTAAAACGAGACCACAAGTGATTTGGTGGAAACAATAATATTAATATAGTGGCATTCAGAAAGAATATGTTTATTTTTAGTATAGCATATATAAGCCGAAAGGTCTGCTTCCCTTTTAAAACCTTCTGTGGTGTAGTTGATAGCGCAATAGCTTAGCAATTATGTCATAGGTTCAAGTCCCATTTAGGGTAAAATCTATAGAAACTGAAAAAAACACACGGCCTAAGAGACCTTTATCGAATGATAGAAAGTTTTGCAGATAAGGTGAGACTTTTGGAAGCAGATGCTGAAGAGGTGAAAGCCTTACAACACAAGATGGGTTTGCTAGAATCAGACATTGTCCTACTTAAAAGAGATAATTCTAGGTTGAAACTGCTATTAGAAACATCTCCACCTCTCAATTCAGTGCTGTCAACTAACAACAATGATGTCCCTTCTATCAACGACCCTCAGGTTTTGCATACTAGGTGTTCTGTCTCTACTCACAATTCCTTCAATGCATTGAAAGACGAATGTGACAGTGGTAATTAAGAAGAGGTAGACCCAGATTAAAGTGATAGTCAACAAGACAACCTGAATACACCATCTGACATAAATAACCAACTCAGTAACAGGTTACAAAATAGTGAAGAAACAACAGCGCCTGTCCCCACTACTCCTAACAATATAATAACAAGCACTAACCAGAACAAAATTCTTCCCAGCACAAACAACCAACCTTGTAAAGGGCTGAAAAACAGCGAAGAAGATATAGAGCCTATCTCCACTACTCCTAACAACACAGCAACTATCACTAACCAGGACAAACAAATTACACCTTCCAGCACAAATAACCACCCCAGCAATAGGCTGCAATACAATGAAGAAAACAGAAAAGACAAAATAGAAGCAGTCTCTAATCTAACATTCCATCGAGGTCCTCTCCCCCACAGCCACAGTTACCCAATAATGCGAGTACAAGGGTTACAGCTCAAATATATATTCACATTCCTGGCAACCCGTTTGAGAGAGAGATACGTAATATATTGACAAATCAAGGCATACCCTCTGAAGAAGTTTTGATTAGGGAGCTTTCTTGCAAACCAAATCGGGTCTCCTTTGCAGTAATGATATCGAAAGGATTTGAATATGTGGCTTACAAACTGAATCAATGGCCTACAAGCACAATTGTCCAGCCATTCCCCGGGGCAAACAATGGACACAACCAAAGTTATCTACAAAATATCCCAAACTACAGTTATACCAAAATAAACAGCAAAGAGCTTATGGAACGATCCCCTTTCCACGAGACTACAGAAAGAGACAATACAAACCTCTCTTATCACCGTCCACGCACAACAGACTTCTACTATAGAGATGGCTCTTACAACCTTAGGCACTCACCTAGCCATACAAACTTTGGGAAGGCCCGATCATACCATGGCACGTACTCAAATCAGTGTTACCCATCCAACGGCAGGTAAGCACACCAGGATCCATGGGCTAACCCAAGAGCACACTATAATGATGAATTCACAACAGAATCACACAGTCAAAACACATCATGGACAATTCCAAGAACAAACTACAACTATGACTATGGATACCAGCCTAATGAAACATGGTAAAAAAATATTAGTAGATGTGAATGCTCAGTCCCTTCTCGCTCATTCTGAGGAAATAATAATGCTAACAAAAGACTACAACTTAGATATCCTCAGTGTAAGTGAAACTTGGCTTCCTCCTACAACTGAAAATAAATATGTGAATATCCCAGAGTTTAAAATATTTTGCAGTGACCATGGCCGAGGGGGTGGGGTGAGTCTTTATGTTAGAAATTATCTTAGTGCATCAGAAATAATCACAGGACTAGAAAAAAACTGAAGAGCTCGAAGATTTATGGATCACTGTGCAGTATCAGAAACTTCCATCTTTCATTGTAGGGTGTGTTTACCGTCACCCTAAAGCACCTACCAGTTCATTCAGTCATCTGCTAGAAACATTCAGAACTATCTGTGTTCGCCATAAACCCATATACATACTTGGTGACTTTAATGATGACTTGCTCTCAGCAGATAACAAAATGAAAAAGTTGATCAAGACTGTGAAGTTAGGAGAAATAGTTACAAAACCAACCCGCATAACCCCTAATTCTAGGACTCTAATAGATCTGATAATAACAAATAAAGTGGAAAATAACTCTATTGGGACGTAGTCCCCTGCCCAATTGCAGACCACGAGCTGAACATTGCTATGCTAAACACAAATAAGCCCAAAAGGAAGCTTCTCTTCATGACATTCTGGTGTGAAAAAAATTACTCCCCTGATATCTTTTGTGAAACATTAATCAACAACACAAGTGCACTTAATAGAATTAAAAACACAGATTATGTCGACTTGCAGGTTGAGATTCTAACAAAAATCTTTCGTGAATGCTTAGATAGTTGTGCACAAGAAAAATAACTCGCCCCTCAGCCCCCTGGCTAACTAATGACATCAAAGAGGCAATGCAAATCAGAAATCAAATACAAAAAGAGCTAAAAATTAATGGATATGATATGACTCTCCGAGAACGTTATAAAACAGAAAAGAAACGTTTCAGATCTCTCATCAATGTAAGTAAAAAAGATTTCTACAAAAAACAATTTAATGACTCTAGACATGATACAGCAGCAACATGGAAAGTGATAAAAAGCATGATACCAAATGAAAAGAGTACCTCAGAAAGTTATGAAAATATTACGGAGTTAAAAGACAAAGCGGAAAACTTTAATAACTATTTTGCTAACGCTGGCAAAAATACATATGAGAGAACACAAGAAAACATCAACTCAGTGAATATGAGTAATTGTTTAAATGATAATTCTTCCAATGTAAACACAAGAGAGTACTTCAAGATAAATCCTATCGATTGTGCTATCCTAATTCTTACCATAAAGAGCCTAAGAAACTCTGGCTCTTATGGTTCAGATGGTACACCATTTCAGTTCATCAAAGATGCTCTACCCATGATTGTATCTTATATTCTAACTATTATGAACACCTCCATTGTTACTAAAAACCTTCCTGACTCTTGGAAAAAATCACATGTAATATCTCTGCATAAAAAGGGGGACAGAGAAGATGTGACAAACTATCGTCCAATATCCCTGCCACCCATTTTCTCTAAAATATTAGAAAAAATTGTTGCATGCCAACTTATGTCATATTTAGAGTCAATTAGATTATTATCTACTAACCAACATGGTTTCAGACCGAAACTCTCGACGGAAATTGCACTGCCGAAAGTTACGGATTGTATCTATAATAATATAGATATGAACAAAAAAATATGTGTTTATATTATTAGACTTATCAAAAGCCTTTGACAGTGTAAACCATGAAATTCTTATACGTAAGTGTACTAACCTAAATATTGATCCGAGCTGGTTTAGAGAGTATGTATCTAATCGCAAACAGTCTATACGTCTTAACAACATTATCTCTATGCCAAAAAATATATAATTTGGTGTTCCACAGGGATCAGTACTTGGTCCTATCCTCTTCTCCATTTAGGTAAATGATCTATCTTCATTCATTTCTGACTGTCTAGTCGTACAATATGCAGATGACACTCAACTACTCCATAGTGGTGATATTAATAATCTCTCAGAGCTAATCTTAAAAGCAGAAAACACTCTGTCAAAAATTAAAACCTATTTTCAAGAAATTGGGCTGCTAATTAACGAAAGTAAAACACAATGCATGTTTATTGGTTCAAGATTCCATATAGCACAAATTCCAGAAAACACAACAATTCATTTTTGCGACAATATTATTACACCTAGCAAAACAGTCAAAAACCTAGGAATTCACTTTGATAACTACATGTTGTTTGATTCCCACATGGATAAAGTATGCAAAAAGGTTACAGGAACATTAATGTACTTATCATGTATAAAAGACAATTTTTAAACTACCACTCGAATAACTGTTGTTGAATCTCTAGCCCTAAGTCACATTAATTACTGCACAACTGTTTGGGGAGCTACCACTATGACTCAGATAAACAGAATAAAGAAGCTTATTAATTTTGCAGCTCGAGTTGCCTTTGGAGGAATAAGAAAATATGACCACATTACACCAGCTCTCAATAAACTTGGGTGGCTGCGGGCAGAAAACAAGGTCGCTTATGCTGTTTATGTTTTTGTATACAAAATATTGGACCATCATTATACTAGCTGGCTATTTGATTTAAAAACAGTCAGGGATATAAGGGGAACCAACACAAGACAGAGCAGTGAGCTCTATATTCAGAGAACAAACACAGAAGCAGGTTCAAAGATGATCACTATTAAAGGGCCAACACTCTGGAACAATATTCCAGAGCATCTTGAATATTCCTCTTCCTTCAGAGCTTTCAATGGCAAACTATATAGTTTTCTTTTGGACAAATAGTTCCTGCTCACACATAAACTAAACTTAATGATTTAATGCAATTTCCCTTAACACTAACTTCTCTATATGTAAACTGATATCGACTTCTCTGTTCTCTAAGTTAAGAACTAATTCTCATTGAAAGGAAAACAAATATGGTATTGATGCCAATAATAACGATGCTGTATCTAGTGTTATTATTACTATATTATTAACATTATTGTTAAAATTTTTATTACATTATT